CTCTCTGTTGCCAAAGCTCGGTTGATTGGAATGTTTTCTTTCCTGCTTCTGTTTCCTCAGTAGATGATAACTATTTTTTTTTTTTTTTTCTTGCGTTATGCGGGCCTCTCACTGTTGTGGCCTCTCCCATTTGCGGAGCACAGGCTCCGGACGCGCAGGCCCAGCGGCCATGGCCCACGGGCCCAGCCGCTCCGCGGCATGTGGGATCCTCCCGAAACGGGGCACGAACCCGCGTCTCCTGCATCGGCAGGCGGACTCCCAAGCACTGCGCCACCAGGGAAGCCCAGATGATAACTATTAATGGCTAATATCTGAGGGCTTACTCTTGTCAGGTACTAATCTAAGCACTCTATGTGAATTATTTAATCTTAACCACATGCAGTAAGCTTTACAGCCCCGCTCTACAGATGAAGAAACCAAGATTCAGAGAGGATAAGTTATTTGCCCAAAGTCACACATTAGTAACTGGTAGAGCTGGGATGTCAATCTAGGTCTTCCTGATTCCACTGTATACTCTCGTAACCACTGTATAGACTGCCCTGAATCAGAACTGTCTCATTTCTTTGATTTGTTCTTCCCAAGAATTCAAACAAGTTTTGCTCTGGAAATCCAATTTTACCTACGGTGATAAGCTGTGGCACAGAAGGAGGGGATAAAGCAAGGGACAGTGAGAATCCCTGATTGTGAGTTAGTTCTATAGCTTCTTCTGAGTCACTGTGTGGGTCCAGGTAAAGTCTCTTTCTCTTTGTCAAGTATTCCCAGCCATAATATTGGGATTAAAATTTTGCCACAAAGTGGAAAAGAGAAAAAAGAAAATATTGAGGTAAAGTTGAGGGGAAAATATTTGAGTCCCACAGAATGAAGACATTCTTTGTATAAATATAAATTGGAAATATAGTTAATGCTGCGGTGATCATTACTACTCTGCAGTGAATTAAGTACAGACCTGGGAATCAGTTTCCCAGGGTCATCTTGCTAAATGAAGAGAGTTGGAACATGGCTGTATGTGCCTAAGGTTTTCTGTGCATGAACTGGGCCACCCACCGCTTCCTTGATGGCCTTCTCAATGGGCTGACACTTCTGGGTCTGCCCTGAGAGAACCACCTACACATAGTTCTCTCCCCTGCGCTCAGCCTTCTCCCAGTAGGGTGACTGTGGAGCAGATCAGCCCTTGAATGAGTGCTTATTTGCAAAGCTCTGTGAGGAAGAGGCATCCTTAATACATGTGAGGCAAGAGGCAGGAGGATACGCCAATGTCATCCAAGCTTCCTCAGGACTGACCCTTTTCTGTTGTGACACTGAGAGCTGTTGATCCCATCTGCCTGTGCTTCTCTGTATTCTCCATGCTTCATCTGACAGGAACTGGCAAGTCTAACCTTGTCTTCCTTTGATTCATTTGGTGAGTGAACTGTATGTGGGTGTCAGAACTCAGTGCTTTTGTGCTGAGCATGTCACATTGTTTCCCAAGGGTTGCCTTAAATCCTCAGCCTAATCTCAGCGGCTGCCTCTGATGCTCCCCGGCCACTAGCTTCTTGTGGTGTGTGTGGGATGTGGAAAGGAGAACCAGAGGGAGCAACAGAGGGGGGAGGGCGATATAGAAACAGCTCAGTGCCACAGGACTGTATTTGCAGTGCTTTGCTAGCTTCCAGGAACCACGTGAAAGAGGGATCATTATAATCTGGCAAAAACCACAACCAAAAGGGACAGAACTGTTTAGTGATAAGCAGCTGTAGCTGTCATTTGCTTTTCCTGGACAGAGGTGGCCTCCAAAGTCTACCTAAGCAGACCTTTCAGACTCTCCATGAGCAGATGCTTCTTTGTTGACATGGAAATTATTTTTCCAGATGAATTTTTAAAATCAATGACTTTCAAACATCAGTGAACATTAAAATCACCAGGGGTGCACAGCAAGATGTGCCCCATTCTCAGGGATTCTGATTCAGTAGATCCGGGGTGGAGGCCAGGAATCTGCATTTTTAACAAGCATTTTAGGTGATTCAGATAGTCGGTGGACTACATTCCCCAAAAGACAGTCTTAGATTTAGTTCCAGTTTCCATTCAGCCCAGTGTTTGAAATAGCCTCTTTCTGCTGCAGTCTGTTTTAATCACTTTATTGAAGGATTTACTAGCATCTCCACGTTTACTACCTGTTTCATCCTCACATCATCACAGTAACTAGAGGGAATCAGAGGTGGTTAGCTCCATTTTATTGGGGGTGAGGGGATGGGAGGTGGGACTGAGGCATAGGGAGAGGTAAGTCACGATAAGTCAGAGACAGAGGTGGGAACTGAAGTCCAGAATTGATGACTCTCAAACCGGGCAATTTTCTGGGGCCTATTTTCTCAGCTTGTGTTATTCCATAGGTGTCCAATTTATTGTGCTTGGGTAAGCAAAGCATATTTGAGTTTTAAACAAAATAGCTTAGCATCCATCAGTGTGCTAGCTTTTGTTTAGCATACCGAAGCTCGTCTAAGCCTTAGCTAATATCTAGAGATGATATGTGTGGAACTGACTTAATGTGCTTCTTTCTGCGCTTGCTTCCTTCATCATTTCTGAAGCCTTTTCACATAAACTATAAGGGAACAGATTTCTCCTCCTCATGCCAATAGGAACCCCCTCTGATCTCCTAACTGGTAAAGTACTAAATCAAAAAAACTATTAACTTTCCGCTTCTCAAGTAGTACTTGGATCCATTTCTAAGGAAAAAAATCTTGAAAACCCTAAGTTTACTTAAATTATTTTTATTACCATGTTACTTAAATTTACAAATATAAAGTAGGAATATAATGTTCTTTTATTTATAATTCTTATACAACTAAAAAAACCAAAATAGATTTATAAGTTAAATACAAATGAAACCACAAAACTAATACTACTCATATTATAGTAATTCAACATGGCAAATGATGTATTTTGCTGAGACTAAATTATCCCTTGTATTGTGACTGTTATTGCCTGCGAAAGCTCAGCTTCTTTTGAGTTCAACATGCTTATGCCACCAAGTGACCTATATTATCTCAATTTTCTCACCACTTTTCTGTTAGAACTACTGTGATAGTGCAGTCCTATGATGTGATTTGGCTTTCATTTTGTGCATGAAAACACCATTTTCATTTTAAATCCACCTCTGTTCTTTCCTCATGATCCCAGAACAATAAAAGCAGCAATGAACACACATGCAATGTAGGTATTGAGATCACGTGGCAATACCAGGTTATAAAGTAGTCATCCAAATAATACAAAATATGCTTATGCAAATCTAAAAAATAATTATCAAAATGAAAACAAAATTAGGGACTTCCCTGGTGGTCCAGTGGTTACGAATCCGCCTTCCAATGCAGGGGACGTGGGTTTGATCCCCGGTCAAGGAACTAAGATCCCACATGCCGCGGAACCACTAAGCCCACGTGCTGCAACTACTGAGCCCATGCACAACAACTAGAGAGAAGCCCAGGCGCCTAAAAGAAAGTTCCCGCATGCTGCAAGGAACATCCCGTGTGCCACAACTAAGACCAGATGCAGCCAAATAAATAAATAAATAAATATTAAAAAAAAAAAGAAAAGAAACCCCTAGAGAACACATGCACAAACCTAAATTGAGAATTACTGTTTAGATCCATTGGTTCCCAAACTTTCACTATGATCAAAAGCCTTATCTACTGTGTTTACTTCCAAGAACCCCATGTGTTTTTTTGGTTTTTTTTTTTTTTGCGGTACGCGGGCCTCTCACTGTTGTGGCCTCTCCCGTTGCGGAGCACAGGCTCCGGACGCGCAGGCTCAGCGGCCATGGCTCACGGGCGCAGCAGCTCCGCGGCATGTGGGATCTTCCCGGACCGGGCCACGAACCTGTGTCCCCTGCATCGGCAGGCGGACTCTCAACCACTGCGCCACCAGGGAAGCCCGAACCCCATGTTTTTTTAAAAAAGTCTCCTAAATTAGATTTATTAATAATTTTACTTTTTTAAATTAATCAAACACATAGAATTACCAGTTCAGAGCTTGTGATCACCATAGGTAGCTATCAATCTAAGCTGCTTAAATTATAGTTCAAAACAAACAAACAAAAAGGGACATTCTAGTTATTCCATGCTGCCCTAACAAGGGTAAATGGAAACTTCCCACTAAATTTTGTAAGAAAGCACTCCCATACCCTCACCTCCTGCCACTGCTGCCTTTGAGGACTCCTGGAGTTCTAGAGAGGTCAGTTTAGTCTTTCTTGTACAAGCAAAGTAGCCACGCCACCCAATTTGGAAGGATTAAAGCTTGCCCTAGTTTTGCTTGATTGTTGTACTTCTAGCATGCTAAAGACCTAAAAAATGGGAGGAAGAAAATACAACAGAAGGCACCATTCCAGTACCAAACTGAAAAGAAACAAAAACAAGAGAGCAACATGTTTTTAACAGCTTGCATGGAGAAAGCGGAAAAAATATTGACTGGGGAGTTTGGATAGCGCTGTTCATTTTCTCTCACCGCCCGCGTTATTTGTCTTACGGGGCAGGAGCCAGATACAATTCTGGCGCACAGGCCAGAGGAAGAGGTGGAGGGGTTTTGTGGAAGCTTGAGGATAGCGGCGAAATTAGGACTGGAAACCCAAATGGCTCAGGGCCAGGATGAAGTCAGGAGAGGCGCTAAATCTTTTTTCCTTCTGTCCTTGGGCATCCTCGTTGGTCCGCCTGAGTCCTAAGAGGGCACAGCATGGTTCACTCAGGTAAGTCCCCGACGCCTTCAGATCATCATGAGCGGGACGAATCCCCGCCCCTGTTTCTTTTGCCTGGGGAGAGGACACGCGGGCTCCTTTCGCTTTCTCAGCCCACCTGTCTTTTGGAGTTCAGACGTGCACCTCCGGCAGCGGGGTCCGGAATGGGGCCTCCACCGGCCGGCCAGGCACTTGGTTCCCCGACCTCAGCACCAGCCGAGCCAGGGCCTTAGCCCCGCCTCTCCGGGCGCGGGGCGGGGCCTGGGCGCGGGGCGGGGCCTGGCGCGAAGCGGGCGGTGGCGACCAAGCGGAGGAGAAAGAACATGGCGGGCGTCGCGGGGCCCCGCATGGGCCAGGGGGCAGCGGGCGGAGATGGAGACGATTCGCTCTACCCGATCGCGGTATTAATCGACGAGCTGCGCAATGAGGACGTGCAGGTACTGGGGTCCGGCCGGGGAGCGGAGGCGGGCTCGGCCGGGCGCGTGGTAGGGAAGGGGGAAGGCCCGCCCCGGGGCAGGGGAGGCCCGGGGATTGAAAGCTGGGACTCGGAGCAGAAGCTTGACAGGGAGGAGGGGAGAGATCCGTGAGGGATTCTGGTGGCTCGACCCGACGGGGCGGGAATCTCTCCAGCAACCCTTGTCCCGGCCCGCTGAGGCTTTGGCCCGGCGTCGCACCGGGTCCGGGGCGGTTGTGGGGGAACCGGCTTCCCTCCTGGGCCCTCCTTCCGGGCCGGGCGGTGGGAACGCCGCGTCCAGCCTTGGGCGGGTTGTCTGTAGCTGAACGAGCGGGAGGAGGGCGGAGCGGAACCGCGAGGGCCTGGAGCGGGCTGCAAGGATGCCAAGGCGCCCAGTGAAGTGCAGGTGAATGACTGCCTTCCGCTGGGCTTGTGGGGTAGAAATTAGGTTGGATGGCTAACTAACCTAGAGGAGGCGGTGTATCAACTCTGATGGAACTTTCCTTTGGAAAGGCAGGGCTTGTACTCAACCGTTTCACCTGCTTCACCACTGCCAAAGTTCTCTTTTTAAAATTGTCTCACTTTTCTGAATATTGTATTTTCGTTCATTTCTTTAATGGGCCCGTCAACGTGTTTCTCCTAAGAAATCTTCCTTTAGCTAATGAAGGCGTGTTCCACTGTTCTTGAGGTTCCTCAAAGAATAAAATCTAAATTAAAGGTTTTCTTCATCCTTACCTGTATGTTATTATCTCACCTGTTTGCAACTGCTGTCTTTTTTTTATTAAATTTTTTTAAATGATTCACATTTTTAAAAAATTTATTTTATTTATTTTTGGCTGCGTTGGGTCTTCATTGCTGCCCACGGGCTTCATTGCGGGCTTCTCATGTTGCGGAGCACGGGCTCTAGGCACGGGGACTTCAGTATTTGTGGCTCAAGGGCTCTAGAGTGCAGGCTCAGTAGTTGTGGCGCACGGGCTTAGTTGTTCCGCGGCATGTGGGATCTTCCCCAACCAGGGCTCAAACCCGTGTCCCCTACATTGGCAGGCAGATTCTTAACCAGTGCGCCACCAGGGAAGCATGCAACTACTGTCTTTTGGTCTAAATCACAACTGTTTCTTGACTTCGTTCTTTCTACTTTTTTAAAGCTCCGTCTCAATAGTATTAAGAAATTATCAACAATTGCTCTAGCACTTGGAGTAGAAAGGACACGAACTGAACTGCTGCCTTTCCTTACAGGTATGTGACTCTTGGAGGAAAGGCATGGGCATTTCTGTTTTCCAGTGGCTTTCAAAACTTTGACTATTTTTTTCGAATTTGTTACCCACAGTATTAGTAAGTACTAAACTGAGCCTGCTGTTTCCCATGAAGAAACAGGACAGCATATACTGTAATTTTGTGGCCAGACATATTCAGACCGTAACTATTTAGCTAATAGGAAAGTAATTGATATGGATTATGGATTTCTAATTCATTCTGTAAAACAGATCCACAAAGACTCTTGATTGAGAAGGAGGAAAAGGCTGTTAGGACTGTGACAGACCATCTAGTTACATACTGAGTCTATTCCTAGTTTTGTGTGAGTGTCCAGCTCTGGCCCGGATATCCTTGTTGATGAGTACTGGGTTGTTGTCATTTCCAGATACAATTTATGATGAAGATGAGGTACTGTTAGCTCTTGCTGAGCAGCTGGGAAATTTCACTGGCCTGGTGGGAGGTCCTGACTTTGCCCACTGTTTGTTGGTGAGTATATTCTGCCTACTCTCCTTCTAGAACTTTTGTAGTATAAATGATATATTGTTTGGTGATAGGCACACTGCAGCATTTTTTATGCAGATCTTTTTATGGATAGTCACAGTGTTAGCTACTGAGAGGACAAATAACTAGGCCCTTTGGACTCAATTAACCCTTTCTTATTTTTTCTGACTATGAATTAAAGAACTTCTCCCTCTTTTTTGCCTCTGTAGATTTGTTAATTTAGAGGTCGGGAGAAAAAGGATTTGATGGTTTTTGTTCATGGCTTTTTCCCCCTTGCAGTGGAGATCTTAATGCTCATCTAGCAATGTTATGGCTTTGGGAATGTTTATTAGTTTTGTCTTTAATTGTAACTTTTGCTTCTGGCTTACTTTGCGAATTTGATGAATTCAGTTTAATTTAGTTGACATTTATTGAGAACCTATTATATCAGGCACTGCAGTTACAATGTTAATGTTAAAGAAGAGCATTATGAATGGAATGAGGCCTCTGTCCTTATGTGTCAACAAATAGTTACTGTGCGGTGTTAGATGGAAAAATTTGAAGCACATAAAAGGCATTCAAGTAATAGAGAAGGGAAAGGGATTAACCCAGGGTGATCAGGGAAGATCTGTTGGGAGAGAATGTCTGAACTAGGTTTTGAAGGGTGACTAGGAATTTGCCAGTTAGACAAGATAGGGCTGAATGCTTCAGGGCTTAAATATTGTCTGTATTATATGCTGACTCTTGTGACTTCTGTCTTTACCTCTTACCTTTCCATGGAACTCCAGTTATAGATATATGTAGAAAGATAGATATAAATATCTCTGTCTTTCTCTATGTATCTGCCTGTGATTTTTCTACTTGGATGTCAGACAGGCATTTCAAATTTAACATCTAAAACAACATCAATTTTCTCCCCCAAATATGCCTCCTAATTAGTTGCCCCGTTGCAGTAAATGGCATCACCGTCTACCCAGTTGCACAGACCAAAACCTAGAAGACGTTCTTGAATTTGCTTTCCCTCATTTCCCACATCTAATCCATTAGTAACTCCTATAGATTCTGTGTATGTTCCAAATCAGTTCACTCTCCTTCATCCCTACTGCCGCCTAGCTCTTCATCCCTCCAGTCTTTCTAGACGACGTGATCTTTCCTCTAGATTACTGCAGTACCTTTCTAACTAGTTGCCCTCCACTCATGCCTCCCGCCCCACCACTACAGTTCACTCTTCACCCAGCGGGTGGATCACTCACTACCTGCCAGGGCTCTTAAAAATCCCAAATTTCTACCTTAGCTTGTACCTTAGTTTACAAAACTTGCCCCTATGAGCTTATCTCATGTGTCCCCTCATAATAACCTCATTCCATTCACAATGGTCTTCTTTCTGTTCTTTGAATAAACCAGGCTTATTGCCTTAAGACTTTTGCCCTAGGTATTCCCTATAATAAAATGTTTCTTTTTGAGCTTCCTGGGGCTGTCTCTTTGTCATTCACATATCAACCTTAATGCATCTCAGAGAGGCCTTCAGCTGACCACTCAACCTGAAATTGCATCCCCACTCACCCCTTATCACATCATCCTATTCTTTTTTTTTGGCACTCAACACCGTCTAGCTGGTTTCGTGACTAGTTGTTATCTTCCTCCATTAGAATGTAAACTATATTCAGTATCCTGTGATAAACCATAATGGAAAAGAATGTATGTATATGTATAACTGAATCACTTTGCTGAAATTAACACAACATTGTACATCAACTATACATGAATAAAATGAATTAAAAAAAAATAAAATCAAAAGACCCAAAAAAGAAACAAAAAAAGAATGTGAACTCCACTAGAGCAAGGAAATTGTGTTCTTGTTTCTTCTGTATCCTCAGTGCTAGAATATAACAATAATTATCATTTTAAAAGAAAGAGTTTAAGAGCCTTGGAAGCATGGAACCGGTTGGACTGCAGGAGTATACAGTGTTGGTGCTAGAGTTGGAAGAAGTGGTGGTCCGGGGGCATAGGAAAAGAGCATGGAGAGATAGGCAGAGTTCACATCAAGAGACAGGAGCTTGCCTTACCCTGTAGTAGTGATAGAGATTATCCAGTGACACTGCATGAGAGGAGGTCAGAGATGGCAGTGGACAGATCATGAAAGGCCTTTACAAGTCAGAAAGCAGTATTTTTTCAAAGGGCTTCTGAAATGCCTCTTAGAAAAGCTGAGTACTTTCTACCTCTGTGTATCAAATAATTTTTGAAATGTATTATTGGATAGACACACATCCCTCCTTTGACTCATAATTGTGTTTCACTCTCCTGGTCAGCTCTACATGTGGGTTTTGTTTTTAACATTTGCACCTCATGGTATATGCTGCGTTTGCCTGGACTGAGTGTAAACCCAGAAAGGCAGAGGTTCAGAGAACCCGCCCTCTGTCACTTTTTACTGGGCTGTGTTATATTCACTCACTGATCCTAGTCCAGACCAGCCCCTTTGGTCTCTTCTGTTTCTAAAGCTGCAGGCAAGGTTTCCTACCACCTCTGCACTCTTCACTTAATTGTTCTTTTGGAAACTCCCACTGTGTGTGGCTCATGGGAAGATTCTGGATGTATTCTGAAAAAAGGATTTTGTTCTCAGCCTTTTATAGGTTGGTGTGGAGACAGTGGACACAGGTCCACCTCCAGGAATGGTAGAATAATAACCCAAAGGCCGTGGACTCAGTGTCCTGATGAGATGTCCTCATGTAATTGTGGTGCCCAGTGTTGGTCATGTTTTTGCACTTACTCGAGGAAGTGTACATGATCCTGTCTGAATTTGGCTACAAAGCTTTTATTTATTTTTTTGGCCGCACCGTGCGGCTTGTGGGATCTTAGTTCCCCAACCAGGGATCAAACCCACGCCCCCTGCAGTAGAAGCATGGAGTTTTAACCACTGGACCACCAGGGAAGTCCTGCTACATAGCTTTTAAATCTAGTGATTCAGCTCACAATAATATTAATATTGTGTCAAGTCTCTTCTACTGTGTCATTTGTAGACACCATCTGGGAATTGCCATCTGGGACATGAGATCTTGGCTGTCCTACAGAAGTCGTGTCTTCAGGTTGGACACACCATATGTTATCACCATGTGAACTGAAAGTAACCATTTGGTGTGATGTAGCTAACATTCTGGTTACATGTACCACCTCCCTTCAGTCACTTTAAAAGGTGATAATCTGTATCTAACCTGATTGAGTAAGTTTTCTCTCTGGTTTTCCGTTTTGGTCTATTTAGCCTCCTCTGGAAAGTCTGGCGACCGTGGAAGAGACCGTGGTTCGAGACAAGGCTGTGGAGTCCCTGAGGCAGATCTCCCAGGAGCACACTCCTGTGGCCCTGGAGGCTCACTTTGTCCCTCTGGTGAAACGCCTAGCAAGTGGGGATTGGTTTACCTCTCGCACATCTGCATGTGGTTTGTTCAGCGTTTGCTATCCCAGGGCTTCAAATGCTGTCAAAGCAGAAATTAGACAGTAAGATATGGTATATTTTAGTTATTTGGGGTTATTGGGAGTTCACAGCTGACAAGTTACACAGTACCCTGTTACCCGTGAGTGACTGGTATCAGGGTAGTCGGATTCATGACACCACTTTTTATTGTCCAGTTGAATATACCCGTGGGTTTTCCTTTGTTACTTCTATGAGTAGAAGTCTAATCCCTGATGTTTGTAAGAGAAAACCTCTAAAATTTCTGTGTGCGTTGGGGGATGCTTAATCAATGGCATTTGACAGGAAATACCTTCATTATTTTATTTGCTGCAGGCACTTCCGTTCCTTGTGCTCAGATGACACACCAATGGTACGACGTGCTGCTGCTTCCAAATTGGGTGAATTTGCAAAAGTTTTGGAATTAGACAGTGTGAAAAGTGAAATTGTTCCATTGTTCACTAATCTAGCTTCCGATGAACAGGTAGGTTAACTCTTAGTAATTAAAGTACACAGATATGCTCCTCTTAAAATTTTAAGAATTTCTTTGGGTGTTTTGGTTCTCATGATAGGATCCTTTTTGCAGAATTAATAGTTAATTCTGGCCTGGATAAAGTTTAATATGACCCATCTCAGTGTCCTTATAATTCTTTCTTAACTGGACCACAGTTTTCTTTTACATTAGCAGCTGTTAAAAGGAAGGGGGTGTCAAAAAGGAAATGGGAGCCATAATTAGAAAGGAACACCAAAGCTGCATTAAAGGGTAACATACCTTTGGGCACTGCAGGCTAGATTGTCATGGGAGAGTAGTGTTTCCTGGAATTTTTGGCTTTCAGATAAACAAGCATAGCATGTATTGGGAAAGCTGTTTGACCCTCTGCATCCTCTTATGTGAGTGTATAGGATGACTTCACTTGATAGCAGTTATAAATCCAAGGATCTGGATCTCATTGGTGTAGAAATAGCAATAATAATACACTAGCAAGCACCTAAATAAATCTTTCTCAGCCTGTTTTAAGTGGTTTACATATGGCAAGTAATTCAGTCCTCACGACAGCCCCATTAGGTAGATGCCCCATTTTACATAATTGGAAACAGGCACAGGAAATTGAAGTGACTTGCTCAAGGTTGCATAGTTAGCAGTGTTGGACTGGGGATTTGAGTCTAGGCGGTTTAGCTCCAGAGTTCATGGCCTTCACTGCTAAGCTGCACTGCCTTTCTGTATGGTGCTTTGGAGGATCAGCCCCCAGAGTTCCTGGACTCCAGAAGAAGAGCCCTTCAGGTTTTGCCTAGTTGCTGCCCTAGAATCACTTTATGTGTACAGGATCATGAGCAGCAGATACATACCCATGAGTCTTATTTTCAGCTTCTAGATCTAAAGATGGTAAATCTTTCAAAATAATTTTTTAAATTTATTAAAATAATATGTAGAAAACAGCACAAAGTGAATATGCATCTTAATGAATCATTACAAGTTAATGTCATCTTGTGACTTTCATCCATGAAAGGAGATAGAGCTTTGACAGCCACTACCCTGGAAGCCCAGCATGGGCTCCTTTCCCAAACACAACCCCGCTCCCCAGTTCCCACTCCTCACTCTCCACCCCCTTAAGACTAACGCTTCATCTTGACTTTCATGGTAACCACCTCCTTACTTCTCTTTGCATTTTTACTACTCATACAGTATAGTTTAAAACAGCAGTATCCAACAGAAACACAATGTAAGCCACTGTTACTTTTAAGTTTTGTAGTAGCCACGTTTTAAAAAGTAAAAAACAGGTGAAATTGATTTTAATAATATATTTTATTTAACCCAATATATCCAAAATAACTATCCTTTAAACATGTGGCACTAGTTACATTTCAGGCACACAGAAGTAGGTAGTGAGTGGGTAGTGGTTGTCGTATTGGACAGTACAGGTTTAGAATCCTCATTTGAGATCTCGTTGATTACATTTCCAGTGGTATAATTTAACATTTTCTTTTGTCCTGCAAAATTGGTAGTTGAATCTAGAGTGGAGATTTGTGAAAGGCCCAGATAGTAAATATTTTAGGCTTTGTGGACCAGACAGTCTCTGTTGTCACTACAAAGCTCTGCTGTTGTATGTAGCACACTATAATATGTAAACTAATGGGCATGGTGCCGTTCCAGTAAAATTTTATTTACAGAAACTTGCTGCTTTTCAGATTTGGCCAGCACTTGCCCCAGCTCTGATCTAAACGCTTAAGGAGAGTTAGGTTTGATATTTTGGGGGCGATAAAATCACTTCGTAGGTGGAGGTTACTTTTCATCAAGAGATACGTCTAGTTGTGGTATTAGCAGCAATGGATGCTCAAAAAAATATTGTGCTTAGTTGTAGAATACGTGTGTGTATATTCACTCTGACTACTGATAGAATTGCTCCTGCTGCCTTAGTCATTCATTGAGAAAGTATTTATCAAGCACCTTCTACATATCAGGCACTGTTCTAGTGCTGGTTTACAGTGTTAAACAGGGTGCACAGGGACCATGCCATCATGGAGTTTACAATTTAATGAAGGAAAACAGATAATAAACAAACAAAACATTGGGGATAAATACTATGAAGAAAATAGAGTCGGATGACACAGTGGTGGGGAGTGATTGTAGGGCATCCTCTAGACTAGTTAGTCAGAGAAGGACCCTGAAGAGGTGGCATAAACTGAGACATGAAAGAAAAATGCCAGCCATGCCCTTTCCTAGGGTGTCAGAGCTCCAGGAAAAGAGAATTCCAGGAAGAGAGGACACTTAGTGTAAAGGCTCTGAGGTTAGTGGGCGAAAGGGACTCTGATCAGAGATGAGTTTGGAGAAGATAGGCAGGGGCTGGATTGTGGGGGACCTTTAAACCACAAGGGTGTAGAGTTTGGATTTTCTTTTCTAGGTGGAATGAGAATACACCGAGATTTTAAGCAGTGGTATGATTTGATGTAATCTACATTTTTAAAAGATCATTCTGGCTTCCAGGTGGAAACTAAATTGTAAGGTGGGGTTGAGAGTAGAAACAGCAAGACAAGTTAGGAGACTTTTGTAATAATCCAGGCAGGAGACAGTGGTGAACTAGGGTGGTATAGTGAAGATGGAGAGAAACTGGAGATAGTTTTGGAGGTAGTCAGTAGAACTATGATTGAATTGGATGAAGGGAAGAGGAATCAAGATCTCTTTGATTTTTGGCTTGAGCAACTGGGTGGATGCTGGTGTCACTGCTGAGATGGAGAAGATTCTGGGAGGAGTAGCAGGTATAGGGAAGAAAATCAGGAGTTCTGGAAGAGAAGCAGTTGATTAATTGAACAAATATTGATGGGTATATATTTCCATAGATGATGGTAATCCCTTGATTCTTCATAATTTTTGGAATCTGAAAATAGCTGTATAGCTACTACCAAGAACCTAGTTCTGCCTTTTTTAGCCTGTTCCTTTAGATAGAGTAGTGAGTATCTTGGGCGTAGGGTAAGTTATTGTTGATCTGTAAACGTGTAGTGTTTCGGAAAGTTGGAGTCGCTGTTATCCCTTGTGTGTTTGCACATGCCTAGATATACGCATATAGGAATGTTACATATATAAAATATTTATGTATATATACACACACATACTCTTAAAATTTTTGTCTTGTTTCTTCTGGGTGCTCAGATGTTTATGTATTTTCAGTTCCTACTAATATATTTATGATTCCCAAATCTATAGTCTCAATTCCCTATTTTTCATTGATTTGTCTAATTATATACTTCCACTTGTGCAAAGGACATATAGGTACTACGTTGATACTTGGTGGTTTACATTTGGGAAGCTGAGTTCATTAATCCCATACCTAATTTTTTCTGCTGGGTTTTCTATGCTTGGCTACCTCAAAGTTATTCTGTCCTTGATCATCAACATTTAAATTGAATGTTTTTTTTAAATTACTTTTAAAATTTGTTTTTCTATGTATTTTTTTCCAAGTCATTATCTCATGCCTAAACTCCTATTACTGCCATCCTACAATGAGTATTTTAAAAACTGAGCTTCCTAAGTCATTCCCTTACCCTTATGCCCTATTCTCTTTCTCTGTTCTGATCTGTTGTAAACAACTTGTACAAGCATTGTTTTTCATCTTTATCCCTCAACTTCTTATAGTGAGGATTTAGAGACATCATTAAAATGTTTTCTTTTTTCACTTAATCTTCACATTTTATTTTCATTTTCCTTAATAAAAATCTTGCACTCTAACTAACGTCATTACTTTGCTGTTCGCTCAGAGAACAGTCATTTCTGCCTTTATGGCTTTGACATGCCTGCCATTCCAGGCAAAGGGAGCAGCTATTTCAAGACATAAATACATGAGCTGCATATAGTGTGGTTGGTTTTTTTTAATTAAATGATACCCACGGCACTACCACACACCACACACTGCCGCGTGGCTCTCAGTAAATATTATCTGACTAACGGAAAGGAATTTTGTTCATTAGGATTCAGTGCGCCTCCTAGCTGTGGAAGCTTGTGTCAGTATTGCTCAGTTACTTTCTGAGGATGACCTTGAGGCTTTGGTGATGCCTACACTTGGACAAGCAGCAGAAGATAAATCTTGGCGAGTTCGCTATATGGTAGCTGACAAATTTTCAGAGGTAAAATTGTTGCACTGACATTTTTTGAGTACTAAAGAAAAAAACCAGAAACCCACAGATTTGCTGTTGTACCAAAAATTTCTGAATTGGAAGTGCTCATGGCAAAAACATATATAGATCTTCCTGGACTCAGGATGGGGTGATGTCCCGATAAACCCATTGCAAGTTGAAAGTGCATTTAATACTTGCTGAACATCATAACTTAGCCTCGCCTACTTTAAATGTGCTCAGAACACTTACATTAGCCTACAGTTAAGCAGAATCATCTAACACAAAACATATTTTATAATAAAGTGTTGAATATCTCATGTAATTTATTCAATGCTGTACTAAAAGTGAAAAACAGAATGGTTTTACATGTATCGGTTGTTTCTCGTGGTGATTGCATGGCTGACTGGGAGCTGGGGCTTCCCCTCTCTGCCCAGCATCACGGGAGGATTGTACTGCATATCGCTAGCCTGGGAAAAGATCAAGATTCAAAATCTGCAGTTTGGTTTCTACTGAACGTGTATTGCTTTCACACCATCCTAAAGTTGAAAAATCTTAAGTCAAACGATCATAAGTTGGGGACTGTCTGTACTTGAAGATTGCGCTGTTTTGTGTGTTCATGTTACTTATTTTGTTTAGAATACATTAAAACCTGTACAAATTCTTTTATAGCTCCAGAAAGCTGTGGGTCCCAAAATCACCCTAAATGACCTCATCCCCGCCTTTCAGAACCTACTCAAAGACTGTGAAGCTGAAGTCCGAGCAGCTGCTGCCCACAAAGTGAAAGGTTAAGGCATCAGTTTATGTTGTAGTTATGTCATTCACTTTGGTGCACTTTTTGTGTCAGTGAATTTTGTATTTTTTTTGTTCTAGATTATGTTTTCAAGTAAATAGAGATGACTTTAATGTGTTGAAATGTTACATTGTCACATAAAGCTACTCCCTTTATATTTAAAACCAAACGGCTGTGTTACCCTGTTTCTGTTTTTAGGGAAAAAAAAAAAGGCATTTCCAGGTTGGATTGGTGTGGTACACAGTGGCATATAGATTGACCAAAAAGTGCATTTAAAATAAGCCAGTTTTCCTCCTTGGAGCTTACTTGCTTAAACATATGATTTGATTTAACTTGAAAATGTTGATAAACCCAGTTAAATTTCTTCATTTGGCTCCTTGTAATGGCTCTATATAAGCATTTTTTTTTTTCTATTTATCTCTTTTAGAACTTTGTGAGAACTTGCCCATGGAAGGTAGAGAGACCATAATTATGAATCAAATTCTGCCCTATATAAAGGTAAACCTAACTTTAGTTTATTTTTTGTTTCACTTTGCCCTATATGAAGGTTAAACCTTACCTCAGTTTTTGTTTGTATCAGTATTCTCTTAAAGCTCTTTGAGTTTAAACGTGGACCAGGGATGAATGGGACAGATATGTTAACATGTGACATTGTTATTTATTACTTATTAGTGCTTTATAAGTGTAAAGTGCTCTTTGGTGCATAGGTTTATATTATCTGACAGATGGTCTGAGGAAACTATCAACTAATCAATACTGAAATAGTGCTGTCTTTTAAAAATTCCTTGTGAAATGGTATGGAAGTTTCTATTGTCTTGCAAAAAAAAAGAAAGGCTTTTAATTTTGATTTTGTTTTAGGAATTAGTATCTGACACAAATCAACATGTCAAGACAGCTCTAGCTTCTGTAATTATGGGATTGTCTACGATTTTGGGCAAAGGGAATACCATTGAACATCTTCTACCTCTTTTTTTAGCTCAGTTAAAGGATGAGGTAAGTCTGGCTATAAATTTTGTTGTCCTTTGATAGTCAGTGTTTTGGTTTGGTTTTTGTTTGGGGTCTCACTGAGATAGAACCCAACAAAGTAACTTATTTTAAACCATTGACAATGTTTGGGCATGGGGTTATAAGTTCCCCAGAAAATGGGCCATTTGATACAGACTTAAAAATGTCTTTCCATCTTCTCTGCCTAATTCCTGCTTATATTTGCTGCTTTTTTTTCTCTTTAAACTTAATGGATCTTTGTTTGATAAGTTTCTTTCATTTAAATATAAATATAATAATATCAAAATTATAACATTAGCTAATATTTATTAACACCATGTGCCAGGCATGATTATAAATGCTTTGCATGTATTATTATTACATGTAATTCTCACAACAGTCTTATGAGGGTGGATCTTATTATTCCCATTTTACAGATGATGAAGGTGAAGCACAGAGGTAAAATAACTTACCCAGGGTCTCAGCAGTGGTAGATCTGGGATTTGAATGCATGTAATTTGATTTCATAGCCTATGCCCTTTACCTTTCTATAGATTTTTCATTGAAAGTTCTGGTTAAGATCAGTTAAATTATGTGCTTTGAATTATTTGTGTACTCAGTGTTAAGTATTTCTTCCAAGACAATACTTTTTTCACCTGAGTCAATACTTTCTTATTTTAAATTTTATTTACTCATTGTGTTGGTAGGAGAATATTGGGCAGAGAACTTGATCTTTACATGTGGTCTTTTGGGGCTTGTGTACTTGCAGTGTCCTGAAGTTCGTTTGAACATCATCTCTAATTTGGATTGTGTAAATGAAGTGATTGGAATCCGGCAGCTCTCTCAATCACTCCTTCCTGCCATAGTGGAGCTGGCTGAAGATGCCAAATGGAGGGTCCGGCTGGCCATCATTGAGTATATGCCACTGCTGGCAGGCCAGCTGGTGAGTATCGGTGCTCTGTGAACTGAAGGATAGCATCAGATAGTGGAGCAGATTTACCATGGCAAGTAGGAGGCCCATGTAGCTCCTATGGTTATGTTCATTTAGACTCATGAAAGTATGGTCTCTCTTAGTTGCCTGTAGAGTGGTTTGCATTTTCATCAGTGCATTAACTTCTTTTTTTTTAACTTTACGTAACTTTTTTTTTTTAATTTTATTTATTTATTATTTTTGGCTGCATTGGGTCTTTGTTGCTGCACGCGGGCTTTCTCTAGTTGCGGCGAGCGAGGGCTACTCTTCGTTGCGATGCGCGGGCTTCCCATGGCAGTGGCTTCTCTTGTTGTGGAGCACAGGCTCTAGGCACGTGGGCTTCAGTAGTTGTGGCATGTGGGCTCAGTAGTTGTGGCTCGCGGGCTCTAGAGTGCAGGCTCAGTAGTTGTGGGGCATGAGCTTAGCTGCTCTGTGGCATGTGGGATCTTCCCCAACCAGGGCTGGAACCCATGTCCCCCGCATTCGCAGGTGGATTCCCAACCACTGTGCCACCAGGGAAGCCCTGCATTAACTTCTAATAAAAAGGTATTATAGAAATACATTTCACCTCCCCACTATCTGAAAGCAAAGCCATAGCAGAATATAATTAATTTCTTGGTATATGTCACATAGATTTTGTGCTACTAAATGTCTCTGTGATTTAAGGAATATTTATCTCAGAAGAAAGGGAAGTATGGTTTTGAGATAAATCAGTTTTGACTTTTGCTCAGGGAGGCTTCCCTGTTTGCCTATATTCTGCACAAAATGTCTCTGGTTACCACTTTTCCTACATCCTGGTTAAAGGGAGTTGAGGACTCTCCATATAAAAAAGGACTGTTGAAGTTTGTAATGCTAGTATTTTGGCCAAAGTCCACATTATCACATTACTCTTTGAGATTCATGGATAGTTGTACTGATCTCAAATTAATTAAAATTTCAGTGCTGGGTTTTATAGCCACATCCTTCCCTTTCTTTTTTAGTAGATAGCCTTGTCAGTTCTAAATTTGATGTGCCCTCACCATGTTGGTTGCACTTACTATAGTATATTATAACTGTCTGTTAAAATCTAGTTGAGGAGATAGACAACTGATCTCTTTTAGGGCAGGGACTGTGTTCAGTGTTTGATTTCCAGTGCTTACCATAGTGCCTGGCATTAATCAGGCACTTAACATTTGTTGATTGTTGAGAAAATGAATACCTGAAAATTTTTTGAGAAAGCTAGTAATATGTCAGTTTATAGCCAACATTAATACAGTTTGTTTCCCCTCTTTCAACCCCACTTCTGTTCCTTTCATATCATAGCATATGGGATTTATTTTTTCTTTTCTTGGATCACTGAATTTGTATTGTTATTTTGGTATACTTAGTTTATGAAATGTGTCTGTGCGTGTGTGACGTCATATGTTTTATCAAATTTGAAGTGTCCCATTCTTCAAAATGGATGCCAAAGATTATCAGTGTACAGGTTTCCCCTACTGTTTGAAAGTAGAGCATTCCTAAGAAAGCTTTTGTAAGCTGAAATGGCGTAAAGCGAAGAAGCAATTACCTTAGGACACATCTTGCTAACAGATACAGGAAGTAAATCAAGATAAAGCACAGATGCTCACAGACACAGTTCAAAGCAATGGCGGCCTGATGCTGAGATGCTGAGTGTAGTTCTAGGGGAAGGAGCTTGGCGGGGCCACTCTTGCTGCTGTGGTGCACGCTGCCTGTCGAAGGGCTCGTTGACTCGCTGCAAGACAAATGCCGAATGCTGTTTTCACCTTTTTTTGTTAAAAAAAATCCCCTTCAGATTTCTTTTGGTTAGTGAAGACACGTATTGTTTTACAGCTCTTTTGTAAAAGTGAAGTGATATAAAGTGAACTTTCGAAACAATATGGAAACAGGCACCGGGTGACTTTGGCTGCCTTATGCTTGTCTAGCAGAGGTGACATGTATCAGTCAGAAACATTTTGTTATACAACTTCAACTTCTTGATATTATTATATATTTTATCCTTAAAAAAAAATCCGTAAAGACTTTTATTTCAGGTAGTCAATTTATAAAATTCTTTCAAGACTTTATGTATGGTCTGGCTTATGGACCATGGTGAGTGAACGTAAGGCTAAACCACAAGAATCAGGAAATAAAAGTTAATTAAGACTCAAGAAAAATCCATGATCTGAAATGAAAAATAAGTCTTTGAGAGCGGACATGGTAATAATCTAAGGGTGTGCTAAAATAAAGCCTGTTCATAATCTAGTATTATGAAGCCATTTTATCATATATTCAAAGCACTTTAATTGCATTTCTTTATTGAAAATACATAATCACTGGTCAGAAACTTCTTAGGATCCAAAGAAGCTAAAGACTGTGAACGCGTAGACCTCAAGAGGAAGGTGCTGGGAAAGCACAGTTCACAGCGATCGCCCACATGATGTGACGTCCCACGGTGCTGGGTCTGTGCAAATCAGCTCGAGGAGCTTGTCTGCAGCCTGTGCTGGTGCGGCCACCGTTGTGGGGGAGAGCAGTGGTGGAGAGAAGTAGGATGATTCCACTGTGACTGTGCTGGGACCACTTCACTGTACTCTTGTGCCTGCTTGATTCTCTCTCTGCTTTCTCCCATGGATCCCAGAGTACTCTCTTTAGCTGGAGATAAGTCTGTCTCTTGATGTCAGGTTCTTTATCCTTAAGGATTTATTATGATATTAACCAAAAGGGGGAAAATTTGAGAATTATTAATATTACTGACTGGTATTTTCCTGGTAATTCATTTTTACAAATATTCTAGAGATTGTTTGGCAGCCTGTGCATGCTGCACTCTTCCTACTCATCTGCAGTGTTGCATCTGGCTCCAGGCCACTCTATTCTCTCCCACTCAGCAATGCCTGGGCCGACTCACTTCTGCTCTTCTTTATGACTTCTATCCAATAAAAATAGGTTTACAGTTTGTAAATCAAATCTCATGGTATTCTTTTTCTGGCTGGTCCATGAATTCAGCTTATTTGGAAATAAGTCATTTTTTTTTAGCTTTCAGGTCACATTGGTGTAATATAAATAGTACATCTTGATTTCTAAACTTTGGAGACGTTAATGGAATCTTCTGTATCCATAGGGTGTGGAATTCTTTGATGAGAAGCTGAATTCTTTATGTATGGCCTGGCTTGTGGACCATGGTAAGTAAATAAGTTAATGGAAGGCCCATGTTTTTGCATATATCCCATTTTGTTCATATATTTTCTTTTTAGAAAGGAATCCTAATCTGACCATATTTTGTTTTACCAGTACAGGGATGAAGACAGGCTTTCATTAAAATCCAGTTAGCTTTTTCTGAACGCAAGTTTGACATTTCAATTTTCTACCAGTTTTTTTCTATCTTAAATTTTATTTTCTTCATTGAAAAATCTGTTTGCCCTATTTCTCATTCTGTTACATTATTTTCAGACTGTCTCTTTTATACACATATTCATGCCTTTCTTATCTCAAGGTCTTCTACTCGGCCATGCCATCTTTGTGTCTTCAGCCACTGTAGACTGGGTTGGACAGGGACTGGAATCAGAAGAAAGGCCTAGGGGGAAGAAATGGCTACTTGTCTTCTTTGAGGTGACATAGAGAAGGAGGTATACAGTGGTGCAATAAAGATGTCTAGGAGTAGAAGACGTCAGCTGTGACCTAGGATAGAGAGGTCCCAGATTTCTGGTTGCGTGAAAGGCATGCTTACTTCCTGTACCCTGGCTGCTGCTGCCATGATACTAAGAGAGGGAGAGCTGAGAACTCAGGGCAGGGTCAGATAGGACAGCATTTAGAAAATAGATTTTTTTAGTATTTTACCTTTTCTTTGCATTTATAGCATAATTCATTTCAACAGTCACAGAATCTTTTTCCTCTAGTGCCACATACTGTGTTACAAATAAAAGCTGGAACTGCTGCTTATCAAAATATACAAGGCAATTCATGTTTTATATAAAGCCACTTCATGTTAACTTGTTAGCAGTTGACTTTTTGACAAGGTCTCAGGTCTGGGTATCTCCTCTTGTCTGCTGGGCAGAAGTGGGTAGGAGGGGTTACCTCTGTACCAGTGAGATCCAGTGCCAGCCCCATGTCTAGACCTGGCAGCTTCGGTGTGGTCTGAGATCTGTTCAGATGAGGGCCCTGAGGACTTACAGTGTCCTGTGAGCTTTGGTTCAATATTTTGGTGGATAAGTTGGGTATCCTGCTTCAGTTCCACAGCTTCTTATGTATACTTTATGTACTGAACGTATCTGTGGGTGCTTATGGGTGACTCTGTGGGAGGAGTGGGGATGTTGTGTCTGCTTGTACATGTAGGTGGTTTTGCTGAGGGCATAGTTGGATCATATGGGAGATCATATGGTTAAGGAAGTGAAGAGGAGGGGTGTGAAAAAAATGCACATCTCATAAAGGCGTATATATGTAGATAATTTCATTGTTTTCAAACTAGATTGTGAAGATTTTATTTCTATTTTTCTTGTCCTCCAAAGTTACCTTTTTATGGCTTAATTTTTTTCTTCTTAAATGAAACTGAGGTTTGGCAAATCATAGGAAAGGCAGTCTTCTCTTTTTAGAAATAAAGTGTTTATATTATTTCTGATAAATATTTAATGTTAGTGAGTCCCAGAAGATCAATCCATACTTTCTTGGAAAGTTAGCATTATAGATTTATTCTGAGGAACTTTTAAAATCCTCCTGTTCCACGAAGAATTGAATTCCTGACTCCTTTTCCATGTAGGATTGTTCTGTCGATGCAGGTTAATTAATACTTCCTTTTTCTCTGATTTTTTTTTTTCCAATTTGGGAGCAACAGAGACCCTTGTGTCTTTTTCTGCAGCAGCATACTTAAGTGGGCATTGCAACTTTGAACCAATGAAATTCTTTGAACCAATGAAATGTCAGCTCTGAAATTGTTCTATACTTAATCACATGGGGTTTTGTTTTCACATTTTAGATAACTGCCGTGTAGTGATCAAAGATCAATTAAATTTTTGGAAACTTTTTTCTGCTTATTAAACTACTAAAAGGATATTGTGGAAAATCCAGAGAACTATAAGGAAGAAGCATCACTTACTTCTCTTCCCACGGTTGAGTGGATAGTATTGACGAGAGGGAGGAATTTAGAAGGGGAATTTATTTTTTATAGGAGGAAGGGAAAAGTACCAAAGTTAGTGAGCATATAGAGTGTGTTAGAAATTCAGAGGAGTTGCAAGTCAGCCAGACCTTGAGGGGAGAGGGACAAAGAGGGAGGGAGAGAGACAAAACAAGCAGAGAGGAGAGGCAGAACTGTGGAATGGTTTGCATTCTTTTCACAGCAAAATTGAGAGAAGCCAAGAACATAGTAGGCATCTGGCCAAGTAGAGTTGAGTGCAGTTAAGGTCTGGGTCAAGGCCGAGCGCTCCGTCTCTGGTTACTCTGGCAGTGAGATCCCTTCCCTGTGGTAATGGCATTAGGATGAGAAAAATCTCAAGCAAATAAAAAAAAACAATGAGAGGAGAAGACACAGATGGGAAGAGGTTGGTTGGGGAGGGGGCGGGGGAGGGTGTGCCCAAGACAAAGAATGTGAGTGTGAAGGGAGGGAATTTGTGTTAGGGGTAAAACAGTTCACTTGAGTTGCTCCTTAGCGAGTGCTTCTAGATATTCCTGGTAGGTTGCTGCTCCCACAGGCTTTGGTCAGGTTGCATGTTGGTAATAAATTATATAGTTCCTTGGCTAAGCTGTCTTGCCTGTTCTCATCAGTGGCGTTACCTAAAAGGATCTATGGGCTGGGAAGAGCTGGGTATTTCCTGTCCGAAAGCCTTGTAGAAATTGTCCAGGGTCAGAGCTGTGGCTTGGATAGCTGTCAAGCCACAGCTGTCACCCAGGAGGGTTGGGCCCATCTGGAGAGAGAAGTAGAATAAGGAGTCAGTACCCACCACTCTAGATTTGTTATCCAAGCCCAGATTTTGAGTCGTATCAGACATGTAAAGTGAAGCATTGCCACACCGGTCTTTGTTGAGTGCTGTATGTAGCAACTAGTTGTTGAGAAGATCGTAGCTCAGGCCTTTATTATCTAGATTTATGACATCTTTGCTAAATGACCTCATAGGGAATTATGAGGTTAAAGCAGGCACATATATCCATAGAAGACATTTGACATGTTGTCTCAACAAACATTTTTAAGGGAAAAAAAAGCAAGTCAGCCTTAAGTTTTTATTTGCTGTTGTATAGATGACAACAGAGGCCTCTAAATAGCCTCCTCTCTGTCATTCTCTCAGCTGTTCTTGCTGCTGCTGGAATAACGTGACCTTCACCCCTTCTGCAGTGTACGCCATCCGTGAAGCTGCCACCAACGGCCTCGTGAAACTAGTGCAGAAGTTTGGTAAAGAGTGGGCCCAAAATACCATCGTTCCCAAAGTGTTAGTAATGGCACATGATCCTAATTACCTGCACAGAATGACCACTCTATTCTGCATTAACGTAAGTATTACATAGCTGTTATTGCTAAGCTCAGATGTTAAACCAGTTGTTCAGTACTGTATTATGAATTCTGAATATGTTGCCTTCTATTTGGACTATATTTCTTATACTGATTAATTTGGACAGTTAGGAGATGAGAGAAAAATGTCAATTTTTCAGTTTGTGTTAAAATCTGTAGTCAAGTCAGTTGTGAATTCTGGTCTAATTCTGGGATTCTTTGCTACCTTGTATCCTTCATTCACATGCTCACACTAGAAACATTTTCCTGTTGGCCAGTTACTTTCTTATTAAATATTGTCTCTTTAGATTTGGGGATATTTAGAAAAATAAAAGTGTTTTTAATGTGCTGTCTTATTTCTTTTTCTAGGCGCTATCTGAAGCCTGTGGTCAGGAAATAACCACTAAGCAGATGCTGCCTGTTGTATTGAAAATGGCAAGAGATCAAGTAGCAAATGTCCGATTCAATGTGGCCAAATCGCTACAGAAAATTGGGCCAATTCTAGATACCGAGTAAGATTTTAGTATTATTCTTTTTTTAAAATACTTTTAAAATTTCACCCCATATAGGCAGAAATAGCTAAAATTAAATTTGGTGATTTTCACTTCACCTAAGATGTGGGATTGGTTAAAGAAAATAATAGAGTAATTTAACAACCAGTTTTGAGTGTGTCTACTCTGACTTTAATGTTTAAGCTGTGTACATATGTGGATCATTGTTCGAAGCTAATTCTGAGAAATTATTTAATACTTGTCAAGTTTATATTATAGGTGTTTTAAGATTTTTTTTTTATTTTAAACTTTAAAAATTACCATAGAGCAAATATATATATACACACACACCTAAAGCATTTCTCTGGCTCAGAAGACTGCCTCTCACAGATGATACCATTGCATTTTAGTGCTTTGCAGGAGGAAGTTAAGCCGGTACTGCAGAAGCTAGGCCAAGATGAAGACGTGGATGTCAAGTACTTTGCACAGGAAGCTATAAGTGGTATGTCTGTTTTCTGCCTTCCAGCTTTTGCTTCGGCTAATGGGGTATGAGTTGTGTTAAGTGGGCCAGGCGATGAGCATCTGGACCTGGGAGGTGGTAAGCTCCCGGAATGCTCGTCTTCTCTTTGGGTAGAAGCTTCTTGGCCCACCACTGAGCTGGCCATTTTCCCAATTCCATGTCTAGGGCTGGGTAGGGATATGATTCTTACTGGTAAGAACAGTTTTTGTTTGGATTTTAATTAGTTTTTAAAGTTTAACTTTCGATTAGCCTGACAGAGTAAAGAAACTGACCACAGTGAGAAGCTCATACATAGTCTTATGCTTTTGGGTCATTTTTGTTGTGCTTAATGTTCACATAGATAGTTCATGAACTTTCTGTACCACTAACTTGCTTTTGTTTGGAATTTTCTAGTGCTTGCATTGGCATAATGAAGAACAGGAGGGGAAAGACTTTACTAAATTCTTATCACAGATTTCTAGTCCATGTGTTCTTGAACTGGGTGGAGAGAAAAAATGGAAAACCTTCAAGACCTCATCTGAACAAATGGCAACAACTAACAAGAAATCAAATTTCAGTGACTCGATTCTTTCTAAAGATTGTTTTTTACTTGTCTTCCTTGTTGGGATAATTATATTTTAACTGTTCTTATTGTTTGTGACCAATTCCTGACACTTGCACAGTCATTTCTTGGTTGTCTCCTAATGATTTATTTAGCACCATCTGAGCTCCTGCATCCTCATTGTTTAATCAGGCCCCGGCCACTTAATATTCCACCAAGCCTGGACAGGTTTGGACCCAGATGTGGAGCAGAGTGATCCTTTTGATGTTTATATGTATCTGTGTGTCTCCATCATTCCAAAGTTAAATATACATGGTTTAGAATAACTTATTTGATAAGCACTCCACTTGGGAGAGACATTGAGGTTTAACTGTAGCGAGAGCCATATTTTCCTGGATAGTGATGGTCTGCCTCAGTGTCTCACCTGAAAGGGGAATGTGGAAGCTCAGGGTTCATGTATTGGTTGCTTTGGTTTTTCTTTGCTCAATTTTGACTGTAGTCATGTCATTCAGAAACCTGAAGTGCAGATGCATCTTGCTGCTAATGTGTCATGTTGAAACCTAACATTTTCCACAGCTCCCCACTGTGACTGCGTTCAAAAATACGCTTTCCCACTGAGAAACTTAAAATTTAGTGCCTCCTAATAAGCAGTGGTTCTACTGTTTGTAAGATTGCAGTTGTATTTCTAATGAGTTAAGGAACCACTGGTATAATCCACTGTGAGGATTTCCTGCTCTTTACCTGGTTCTCCTTCCGGCTGTGTGAACATTTGGTCCTTGCTACATTGTACAGTAGTAGCTTTCCAAACTGAAGTTTCATTACTAATTTTTTGGTATAGGTGATGCTGAAATCTTATCATTTGAAATGTTTGTTTTTCTACTTTTACAGTAAAACCTCATTAGTTCCTCCTGGAATTGAAGATAATGAGTTAAGCTGAAGGGTTTGCTGAAGCAGATTAATAGTACGTGAGGAATCCTGTTGGGTCTGAACTACTTAAACAATTTTAACGCTCCTTAAAAAGCACCCTATTACCACTTGATATGCTAGTTACTAATCACTCTTTTCAATTATATTAAAATACCTTCCGTGAGGATCTTTGTGAGGCCACACCTTTATTTAGATGCATTCAATGTACTCTTTATCTCTGATATATATACATAGGTATTTAATGGATAATTAAATATTTTTTCTTTAAAATTTATGAACATTTTTCACCTGATCAAACTCAACTTGTCCCTATGCATTTTTTTTTTTTTTTTTTTTTTTTTTTTTCTTT